GTGTGTGTGTTTCAGAGTATGCATAGTTTGTGTGTCTGTGTGTGTGTGTTTCAGAGCATGCACAGTGTATGTGCAGTGAGTCAATCAGAGAGTGGTGCAGGTGTGTGGTGTACTGCATGCAGACTGAGTGTGTCAGTGAGACAGTGTGTGTTAATTGCTGTCAGTGTGCAGGACTAATTGTGAGGAAACATTCCATAAGGATTAGCTCTTGACAGTCAGACTTGACAGTCAGACAATGTGGACATGTGCTCACAACAGAAATGACTTTTTGTAACTTCTTTTAGATGTAAAAGTGCTTAAAATATGTTTTTAAAGGAAGCACTTGAGTCACTGTGGCCTGTCGCCAGAGGACAGGGCGCCGAGAGAGACTCTGAATCGCCTCTATTGTAACCGAATGTCAAGAGGACTCTGCTGCACAGCCCCCAGCTGTCCCTCCAGGAGAGACAGGGGCGGCAGGAAGTCTCCAGGAGAGACAGGGGCGGCAGGAAGTCTCCAGGAGAGACAGTGGCGGCAGGAAGTCTCCAGGAGAGACAGTGGCGGCAGGAATCTCCGTGACGCAGAGGCAATGATGCCCTTCCTTCAGGAACACACCTGGGGGGCTGCTGTGGGGGGATTCTGTCTGGTTTTGCTCTTTAAGTTTTGCTCTCTGACCTGTTTTATAGTTTTTCCAACAGAGTGTGTTGTGCAATGTGTCAGTGTGTGTCACTGTGGAGTGGGGTGTGTGGTGTAGTGTGTGTCGGTGGGTGTGCATTGTGTGTTGGTGTATGTGTGTGCAGTGTGTGTGTGAGTTGTGTGTGTGTGTAGTGTGTGCAGTGTGTGTGAGGTGTGTGAGGTATGTGTGTGTCGTGTGTGTGCAGTGTGTGCAGTGTGTGTGTGGTGTGTGTGTCGCTGTGGGGTGGAGTGTGTGTCGGTGGGTGTGCATTGTGTGTTGGTGTATGTGTGTGCGGTGTGTGTGCAGTGTGTGTGTATCGTGTGTGTGTGCAGGGTGTGCAGTGTGTGTGTGTGCAGTGAGGTGTGTGTGCAGTGTGTGTGCAGTGTGTGGGAAGCAGCCCAGCCTGTTTGTGAGCTCAGAGGACCGCTGTGCTGGGCTGATCCTGCCAGTCACCTGGACGAGGCTCTGGGTCTCCCTGTCCCCTCTCTCTCCAGGGAGAGCTGCACTCCTCCTCCTGCTGTTTACATTATCAGCCACATTGTCAGGATTCTTCTGAGAAAACTCATTCCTCTCTCTCTCTCCCTCCTGCCTGCTCTCAGGTTTTTGTCATGGCCCCTCTCAGCTGTGTTACAGAAACAGGCATGGCTGCTCTCTCAGTGAGCTGTGTCAGTGTGAACAGTGCTGAGTGTGTTGTGTGCTCTGCGTCAGTGTGTGTTGTGCTGTGTTGTGCTGTGTGTGTTGTGTGTCAGTGTGTGTATTGTGTGTCAGTGTGAACAGTGCTGTGTGTGTTCTGTGTTGTGTGTCAGTATGAACAGTGCTGTGTGTGCTGTGTGTCAGTGTGCGTTGTGTGCTGTTTGCTGTGTGTGTCAGAGCAGTCTCAATCTGTTTTGGACGCAGCTGACCAACAGCTGGACTTTCATCGTCCCCAGACTACGGCCTCATCAATAATAACCCCCCGCAGAGCGACACCGCCAGTGACCCCCACACTGTCCCGGGACAGCGCCCCTCCCCGCGGACGGGCCAGGTGCAGCCCGGCTCAGTGACGTCACCAGCTGCTCCCCTCATCCGAGCTCTCTCTTTCTCTTGCTCCCTCTGCACAGAAATTCCTGCTCAATTTCCAAACCAGTGGGAAGTGAGGGGGTGGAAGAAGTGCGGAGCGGGTCGGGAATCGGAGCGGGTCAGCGGGTCAGCGGGTC